AAAAAAAAAAAAAAAAAAAAAAAAGAAATGGTGGGTAGAAGTAGGGCATCCCCCAAAAAAGAAAACAGCACGTACAAAGGCCTGAAATCGTGATGTGTTCCAGAAAGGAGTAGTGGTTTGCTATGTCTAGAGCACAGAGCTGGTGGAATAAGAGGGAGGGTTAGAAAGGTTCCAGGGGTCAGATCATGGAAGGCCTTGTAATCACATGCAAAAGGGTTTGGACTTCATCCTGCAACAAAGAGAAAGACATACGAGATTTAAGCTTCAGCGTGCCACAGACACATAGGTATATGCATTTGAGAAGATCGCTCTGGGTGCAGCATGCAGACTGGGTGGGATTGAAGGCGGCAAGTATGAAGGAAGGAACATTAGTCAGGAAGCTACAGCACTAGCCCTTTTAAGGCATAATGAGCACTCAGACAAGAACAGGAGGGATGAAGAGGACAGGATGGACTTCCAAGCTGTTTGGGAGGCCCAGATAACGGGGACTTGGTTACCAACCTGCCATGGAACGAAAGCAGAATCCAAAGGAGGTCTAAGTCTCTAGAATTCAAGCCGTCTTGAATTCTAGAGGGTGTAGTGAAGATGGTGAAAACAGAAAAGCTTTAAAGCTTTCATTGAAGGATGGGGTGACTGAAGGAGGACTCAAATTAGAGTTCTGTGTTGTGCTCTTTTTTAAGGTGGGAGAAGAAATCCAGAAGAGGGAGATGTTGGAGGTGTAAGAGGGAGTGGAGTTAACGAAGGTTCCGAGGCAGGAGGACAGGGACCACAAGGACAGAAAGAACAAAGCTTCTCTCTGAGATGTGTGGAAACATGTGAGGTGTGCTGAGATGGGAGGAAACAAAAGTGGAACCACTGTGGATGAGTTCCCAGGAGGCGAGGCAGGAGCTCAGGGAGTTCCTGTCCAGGGGTCCCTGTTTCCTCTGGAAAGTACAAGTCCGATCGTTTTCCGAGAATGACAGGTAAAGTCTTGCAGAAAGCATCCAAAGTTTGGAGTGGGAGAGGGAACAGGCTAGATTTGCTGGGCAATGAGAGGGCCCAGCAGAAGGGAGAAGGCCAGGAATTTGACATGGTCCCAAACCCCATGGCAGTGTGTGCGGGATGCCTAGCGGTGCACCCATGGAAACAGGATGATACTGATCATGGACTGGCTGGGGTTCTGAAGGACAGTAAGGAGGCAAGACAAGGTGAGGGTACTGGTGATAGGAGAATGTTTAAAGTCATGGATCCTGAGAAGCGGGTAAAACAGATCAAAACAGAAATAAATGAGTGAAAGAGCTAAAATGAGAGAGGGTTGTGGTCAGAGAGTGAAATATTTAACTTAAAATTTCAGAGGCAGAGCTAACTGCATTCTGTAATTCTGCCGCTAGCTTTGCGACCCTGAGCAAGTTATTTCAAGTCTCTGGGCCTCAGCTTCATTTTCTTGCCCTCAGTTTCCTAAAACTTCATCACTTTACACTAAGACAGATAATACAAAGCAAACTTGATCAGAATTGCTATCCCACCTAACAGGAGTAGTGAATGTAAATCATATAGTATTAGGCCAACGTTAGATTACTGTAAAGCTAATCGTTCAGTTTATAACCTATCTGACCTGCTGGTCTTTCTTCCTCCTCTTCCTCCTACTCTCCCCACTGTCCAATTTGGGGATCTCTCCTTTGTCCAGAACTTAAACAGAGAACATATTAGGTAGGCTGGGGTGAGAGATCAGATGAACTTCAAATCAGCGTTGACTATACAGAAGATCCAAGATAGTCTACAAACTATTAGGACTAAAGTGAAAATTGAACAGTATTGCTAAATATAAAATCAATATTTGAAAATTAATATCTCCAAACAACATGAATAACTAATTAAAATACATGAAAAGATAAAAAAAGCAGTAACAATAGTTACAAAAATTATAGGGTACCTTAAAAAAATCTAACAAAAATAAAAGCTCCTTTACTGAAAATTACAAAATATTTTTGAAGGACATAAAAGAGACCTGAATCAATAGAGAGGTATGCCATGTTGAAGAGTCATTCAGTTAATATTTATGAAGCACCTACTATGTGCTGGGCCCTACTGACTGCTGAGGACACAGAGGTGAACAAGACGGACCAGACTCCCTGCCCTCACGGAGCTTAGACAATGATATAGACTATAGCTCAGTCTACAAATTCAATGTGATCACTATCAAAATCTCAACAGGATTTTTTTAACTAGATGAACTGATTCCAAAATCCATATAGAAAAATAAACATCCAAATCCAGGAAATTTCTAGGAAAAAAATGAACATGGAAAAAGTGCTTGCACTCCTAGATATCAACCCTTGAGGCACCAACACAGAGACAGACAAATAAGAGAACAGAACTGAGAACCCTCAAGCAGACCCAAGTGTGAATGGCAAGTTAAAATATTTGTTTTAAATGTCACTATAAATCATCAGAAAAGGTTGCACTCCTCCAGTCATAGTGGGACAACTGGTCATCAATACGGGGGAGAAGCAGATTCCCGTACTTGATGCAATTATAAAAATAGATTATAGATGAATTAAAGACCTAAAATGTTAAAACATTCACAGTCTCTCTCTTTCTCTCCCTCTCTCTCTCTCCCTCTCTCTCTCTCTCTCTCTCTCTCTCTCTCTCTCTCTCTCACACACACACACACACACACACACACACACACACACACTTCTTTAAAAAAAAGTATTAGAAGAAATATCTTTATGACCTTGAGTTGGGAAACAATTTCTTAGACAAGCTACAAAAAGCACAACTCATAAATGGTTAATAAATCTAAATAGATGAAAATTCAAAACTTGTGTTCTACAATATAATTCATAAATGAAGTAAAAAGACAAGCCACAGACCATAAGAAAATTTTGTATATAACACAAATTTTTGGTACCCAGAATGTAAAAAGAACTAATCAAACTTTTAAGAAAAAGATAAACCCATGGAGAAATAGGCCAATAACATAATAGGTAAGTCAGAGAAGAGAAAAGGAGACTGGCTAATAAACGGATGAAAAGACCTTCAACCCTCACAGGAGGAAATGCCAAATATTTAGATGCCACTTTACAACCATTCGATTGGCAAAAATCAGAAGTCTGACTAAGCACTGGTGAGGGTGTGGAGAAACACTCATAATCATGGCAGATTGGAGTGTACACTGGTACAACCACTCCAGGGAGGGATTTAGCAAATATCCAGTAAAAAGGAAGGGAAGCACACTCGTGAGCCAACACTGCCACTTCTAGATACATTTCTGAAAGAAATCTTGCACACGTTCCCCCAAGAGAAATGTATAAAAATGTTCATTGGTACATAGTTTGTGGAAGAAAAAAAAAAATGGAAACAATCTAAACGTTTTCATCAATGGGAGAACAGAATAATAAATGACCAGGTACTCATAAGATGGAACACCAAACAACTATTGAAATGAATTAAGTACATCCAGATGCATCGAAACATGGATAGATTCTGTTGAAGGGGAGAGCTCCAGGCAGAATTACAGGTAGCAGTACGATAATATTTACCTATATCTTTAAAACACAAAAAGTCATACTATATATTGTTCATGAATACCCACAACTAAATAAAATATAATGACAGGCATGGGAATGAGAAACAGCAAATTCACAACAGAGGTTACTTCTGTGGACAGAGGGGACCAAAAGGGACTTGAACTTTTAGGAAAGCTCTCTCACTTAAAAAAAAAAAAAAAAAAAAAAATCTGAAGCAAAAATATCCAAGTATTTTTTTTTTCTGACTTTTTTATCCATGAGTGTTTCTGGCATTATTTTCTGTACTTTTTGACTTGATTTTTTTTTTCCATCATCAACCTATGTCTTTCTTAACAACTCCGATCAGAGGCTTAGAGGAAGAGAAACATAAAACTGGTTAAGTTAAGGTTTGGGAAGTCAATGAATTTCTGCCAACAGTGCTAGTTTTATTTCCTATCATCCAAGAGAATGAGAAGTTATGTGGGCATAGTAAAATCTCCACGTGATGAACCCCACTAAGACAACGTTACGGGGAAGATGTCGAGGCCAGTTCTCCCAAAGTGTGCACCTCACCTCACGCACGTGTCTCTTCAGGTACATGTAGACACTCTGTCCAGTTTTTCGAAAATGTCTTTCCACATGCTCCCTTCCAAAGGCCAAAAATGTATTCATGCATACATAGAGTCCACCTTCAGAATTCTAGAAGAAAGAGACAGGTTACATTAGTCAAGTAGTCTAGACACAGAAAAAGGGAAGGGGAAGGAAGGCAAATGATGACAAACAATGAACACAAAGTCTGGCCACTGTAGTCATCTCCAGTGACCTCCGAGGGCTCACAGTCACCCAGAGGCAGCTCCCGCCACAACCCTGGGTTCCCGGTGCTCCCAGACAGCTGAGCACGGTCTCGCAGGCAGGCAGATACTCAGAGGCCTTGGGAAATAAACATGCCTGCCTGATTCTCCAAACTGGGGTAAGGGACAATCACGGATAGAAGAACGTTGGCAACTGATCCAACGAACGTCACTTCATAAAATAATGTTATTGTTTTACTTTTATTGAGGTATAGTTGAGTTACAATGTTGTGTTAATTTCTGCTGTACAGCAAAGTGATTCAGGGCTTCCCTGGTGGCGCAGTGGTTAAGAATCCGCCTGCCAACGCAAGGGACATGGGTTCAAGCCCTGGTCCAGGAAGATCCCACATGCTGCAGAGCAACTAAGCCCGTGCGCCACAACTACGGAGCCTGCGCTCTAGAGCCCGCAAGCCACAGCTACTGAAGCCTGCATGCCACAACTACTGAAGGCTGTGTGCCACAACTAGTGAAGCCCACGTGCCTAGAGCCCATGCTCTGCAACAAGAGAAGCCACCGCAATGAGAAGCCCGTGCACTACAAAGAGTAGCCCCCACTCCGCAACTAAAGAAAGCCCGCACACAGCAACGAACACCCAATGCAGCCAAAAATAAATAAATAAATAAATAAATTTTAAAAGTGATTCAGTTATACATATATATATTCTTTTTCATATGCTTCTCCATTATGGTTTATCACGATATTGATTATAGTTCCTTGTGCTATACAGTACAACCTTGTTGTCTATCCATCCTATATATAATAGTTTGTATCTGCTAATCCCAAATTCCCAATCCTTCCCTCCCCCAACCCCTCCCCCTTGGCAACCACAAGTCTGTTCTCTATGCAACGACCATCAGTTCAATGGTTCATCATCGTTCTTCCTCATTGGTCCCGGCAAGTCTCCAGAACATACAGTCTTTCTACCCTTTTAGCAGGACAGGATGCTTCAAAGATATTGTTCCCTTCCTTTGGTGACGCATGATATTTGATGGTACCCATTAATAAATGATAACAATTCAATAAATAAATAATATCATAATAAGTAAATAATAAAAGATGGAGTCCTCAAATTATTACACGCCTGATATGTGCCAGGTGCTTTGCTCATATTATTTCTAATCCCAACAATACTGCAAGCTGCTAGTATTACTTCTATTTTACAGTTTAAAAAAAAAAATAAGGATAAGTCACTTGCCCAAGTTCACTCAGCTTGGAAGTGTCAGAGTTAAATTTGAATCTATTTCTCTTTTATTCCTCTCTGCCATACTTCAAATATTATTTAGTTATAGCCATACTGCTACAATGAACAGGCAAGGATATTGTTCACATTTACAATACTTGATTTTCAGGACTCCCCTGGTGGTCCAGTGGTTAAGACTTCGCGTTTACACCGCAGGAGGCCTGGGTTCCAGCCCCAGTCTCCCTGGTCGGGGAACCAAGATCCCACAAGCCCCAAGACATGGCCTAAATAAATAAATAAGATACTTTTCTATCCCAATTTCCTCTCTCCTTTTCTCTCACTTTGCTTAATGTGCTTCTCCATAAACTTAGCCTATACAATTAGCCATCCTTTCCTCAAAGGAAATGGATTTTTATTATGATCCTATTAGTCTCACCTATCCAAATAATTCTTTAAAAAACAAAAATTTTAAATACCTGTTAGAATTTGCCAACAAACACCTACCAAAATTCCTTACAATGAATTTTAGTAGAGCACAAATTACAGTATCAAAAACAGACACTGATGCTCATTACAAATATATGAAAAATAATTTTTAAAGTTCCAATAACTCAAGATTGTTTATTTTTTTTAATTTCAAATAAAATTTTCCAACATCGTATCTATGGTTTATAAGCCAGACATAAAGGAGCCTTGTCACAACAAGAACATTATAACAGGGGCTTCCCTGGTGGCGCAGTGGTTAAGAATCCTCCTGCCAATGTAGGGGACATGGGTTTGAGCCCTGGTCCGGGAAGATCCCACGTGCCGCAGAGCAACTAAGCCTGTGAGCCACGACTACTGAAGCCCACGCACCTAGAGCCCGTGCTCTGCGACAAGAGGAGCCACCGCAATGAGAAGCCCGCGCACCGCAACGAAGAGTAGCTCCCGCTCGCCGCAACTAGAGAAAGCCTGCGCACAGCAACAAAGAGCCAACGTGGCCAAAAAAAATGACATCACTAGAATAAAATTAGAAAAGTTCTTCAACTAGGGGCAACATATTACATTCACCTGATCAACAGATTAGATAAATATTTTCAAAAGATTTTTTAAATAAACATATTCTTTTGCATAGTCATAATCCTTAAGAAAAAAATATTGCATCATTATAATGGTCAGCTATTCATTAAGCCCATTAAATTGAGCATCCCATAGTGTGATTTAAATAAGAAAAGAACAACACTTCCATTCTCTTCCAACAAAATGTAATTCGATCAAAAAGAACTCAAACCAGAAGATATAATGGGGGAAATATGAGATTTGTAAGCAGAGGTCCTAAACTGCCACTACTTAGCTCTGTTGCCTAAACAGGTTGCCAGATAGTCTCTGGGCTTCAGTATTTTCCTCAATAAACATGGCTTTAGCAATAATTCCCACTTCACAAGGTTTCGTGAAGTTCAAAGGTGACGAAGCATCCTCCATGCTATAAATTATTACATAAACATCGATAATTATTTATTACGAGCTAAAAGGTCTGTGTGCTACATGTATCTCCTATTATCACAGTCATTTTATAATTGGGGGGAAGAGCAGAAGGAAGAAAAAAGTGAGCCTGACAGCCACACAGGCTGGCGATAACAAATATTAAGCTGTCAGAAAATGTAGTAGGCAACTAGTGGGAGAAGCAAGAAATTAGCAAGCAGAAGAAGAAAAACGTTCAAGCATAGCATTTTTCTGAAGAAAAATATAGAATAGCTGTATGATGCGAGAGTATATAATCTCTAAAATAATCATACAATCTTTGCTAATTTCATTGCCAAGAATTTTTTACTTATTAGGGAATTTGATAAAAATTTAATATGCCAAACATTCCGTCTCAAATCTCTGGAGTCACTTGATATTGTCACAAAGTCCATAATCAAAGAAAAAAATGCTTTGGCACTCATAGATGACCCCACATCGCGAAGGATTCTATTACAAACATCCAAGGACATCTTCCATCCCACATATGGGCTGGCCTCGGAAACAGCATATGCCCCTCTCTAGCGGCTCTGAGATGGAAGCACTGCCCAAGGGACTTCCCAGAAGTTCTAAAAATTCAAGACACACTGAGACAGAAAAACCCTTTAAAAGCTACCCCATATAGAACAAAACACCCCAGTCTAATGATCTACACTTTCTTCCCTCTTGCCTCATTATTGTCTAAATATTGGTCCTATAAGACTCTTTCACATACAAAATCAATACTCCATGCCATGTGCTCTGAGTGGCTTCTCTCACTAGTGATGACAAGTCTGTGCTGACACATCTCAACCAGATTCCTTTGTAACCAAAGCACAGAGACTGGTTTATAGCCTGGGATCAGAGCTAAGCTAATTGACTCTTAAGAGTTTTCAAATCCTCACCCTCATCCTCTCATAGACCACCCACACCCCCACTAAGATCACTGCCCCAGAAAGCACTATAAAGCACTTGCCTTCATGTGGCCAATAGTGCAGCCAAGAAATCAGGAAGGACCTTCTTGTATAAGTACTGCTAAAACTGCAGAAACCAAGGATCACATCTTGGTTTTTGTAATAATGCTAGCAGAGTACACACAAGAAAAGTAACTGCACTAGATGGTAAAGATGGGGATGGACCACCTCTTTCTTAACATCCAGTGTGATTTGGTGTGATATGTCTTTAGAAAAAAATAATTATTTTTTAAATGTTTAAAAAAAAAGAAACGAGGCAGGTTAGAGAACCGTACAAATTGACAGTGAAATGTAGCTCAAAGAATAAGAGGACAGAATACAAACTAATACATTTTTCAAGTAATACTGGTAGAGTGTTTACTAAAATAGATTACAATAAAATTCACATATATTGGGCTAATTTTTTAACAAACATTAGCATAAGAATGGAGATTCCAAAAATATATTCATTCTGTTAATTGCTTAATATACATCAAACCACAAGATGCACAAAAATAAGGTGGGGGTAGAAATCACTAATAAAAGTTACTGGGAGAGTTACACAGCAGTATAGAAGAAAATTAATCTAGATCCACATCTTATACCAAACACTATAATGAGGTCCAGAGAGATCCAGGAGAAAAGCATATAAAAAACTAGAAAAAAGAGCAGAATAGCATATTTATCCTACTTGTGAAGGGGAAAATAATTTCTGGCCAAGAAAATATATAATATCAAAAGAGATGGAGTAGTTGAGTATAAAAATGTAAACACTAAAGAGCAAGTTTTGCATTACAAAATATAAGGAAACAAACAGAAAAGCAACAATAACAGAATGGGATAAGATGTAAAGTATAATGAAGAAAAGCTTATATCCAAGCCATGTAAAAAGTGATAAAATTATTGATACAAGATGTCAACATTCAGGTACAACTTGGTAAGAGCTCGCTGTTGATTTTTAAAGCTCGTTTAGTTTTAACTGTAAGAAAATACTAAAATCAAATCATCATCACTACCTCCTGAAGTAAGCAATTAAAACAATCTCGAGGCAATTATTCACCTACTAAACTAGCAAAAAGTATTAATATTACACAGCCTGAAGCCGCGGAGAAAACCTGTATATTTACTCCCCCGATATAAATCGGCTCCACCCTTCTAGAGAGCAATAAAACTGTGACCTTTGACACAGTATTTCTCCTTTGAGTATGACCGCAGGAACCCAACAGTAAGAGAGAG